CCCAGATCTCCTTCATGGAAGCCGAGAATTCTACTGAACTATCAGTGCCATCACCTGGGTTAAAACCTCATTGAATATATGTAGATGCTAGATATGCTTGCTTTTTCATTCAATCATATGAGAATATGAAAATAAAATTGTGCTAAAACAGTAAAATAATAATTATATATTTAGCCACTAACGATTGTGACTACTCTGTTGTTTGTGTTGTTGTATGTGCCATTTATGTTGGATCTTGTTTTTGTGTTCTTTTCCTTAAGAATTCCTAAAGTGGTATAAGCTTCAACACTCACCAAGCCTGTATCTGCCCTTGACATATATAGATAGTTGTAACAAATATGACATGAAATAGAAATTTTAGTGTGCAAAAAGCATCAGGTATTTTCTTGGGAATGAATTAACAAGGTCTTATCTTAGGACTTCAGGAAAAGAAACACCTACTTTTCTGTCAAGATTAATGAAGGCTTCTTTGAATCCCTAACACTTGATGTTTACTACTTATTTAATAAGCTGAAGTCCTTCTTCTCTTCTTGAAATGCCCTCCACCTTATTTACAAGGCACTAGACAAGCCAGAGTTAGTATTTTGATGTCCAGTATGGACCCTTGTCCCTCATAACTAAGTACAGGCAGATACTCCATTGGACCACTTTGAAAAATATTTAAATAAAATGCCAGTCCTTCAAAGTCAAACCTTTCCTATTTCTCTGAATTATGATTATAGACACCAGAGTATGGACCTCTTAATGGTAGTATCAGTTCTTTAAATGTTTACTTTGTTTTGCTACATCTCACAGTCCAGGAGCTATCTTTCTTTCCTGCTCTGACTTTCCAGTTCCAATTGCTTCACTAAGGATTTTCTGTAATGTAGCAGCAGCAGCAGAATCAATAGCTGGGGAGAGTAGACTTCCGGTAAGATGGAGGAATAGGCAGACAAGCAACACAGACCCTCTTCAACAAAGAAAAGAAATAACAACTGACAGAGATACAGAAGATAATCCTGGAGTCCTGAGCTTTGAAAGGAACTATTCAGAGTGGATTAGGCACCAACTAGTGGAAAAGACTGAATGAAAACAGTGAGTACAGAGATAGGCAGAGCTGCAGACTGTCAGCTACTCTGACGGGACCAACAGCCTGAATATTTCCAAGTGGTATTGGGACCTGAGAACTGACCTAAAGATCAGCCCTGGTCACCAAGGATGCCTACACAGGGATGACTATGCTGGTGGCCTGTGACTAGGAAGGGAAACAGCAAGGAGGGAGACAACTTGAACTGTTAACTTTCCGCTCTCCGGAGGGTGCAGCCATTTTGATTGTTTACAGGTGGCAGCCATTTTGGATATTTAAAGTGACCAAGGGTGCAGCCATTTTGAATGTTTACAAGCAGTGGCCATTTTGCATATTTAAAGTGACAAAGAGTGCAGCCATTTTGAATATTTACAAGTGGAGGCCATTTTGTATATTTAAGCGACAAAGGGTGCAGCCATTTTGAATGTTTACAAGTGGTGGCCATTTTGGATATTTAAAATGACTGAGGGCACAGCCATTTTTAATCTTTACAAATGGCAACCATTTTGGATTTTAAAGTGATAGCATTTTCATTTGGATTCCAAGGATCTAAGAATAGGCTCTGTTTGCAAGGTCGACAAGGACATACAAGAGGCTGACAAAAGAAAAGGAGACAGGTAGTGAATGTCTAATGCTGTCAACTAGTGAATAGAGGAGCACAGCACAGTACCCTGCTTGCGCAGATAACATACAAACAGAACAAAACGAAAATCATGAGCAAGTCACTCCAACATACAATCACCAATTTAAATATAAACACAAAAACATCACAATGCTTCAGAAACAACAGAGCATCACAGTCCACAGTTGGTTGCCAGGGGTGGGAGGGAAGGCACTGCAAAAAAAAAAAAAAAAAATGCATTGACCCATGTCACTTTAGTTTTGTGTATTTCACTGTACATAAATTATATTTCAATAAAATGCATTTTAAAAATAGCTGGGGAGAAGTCTATATGCAGGAGGAGAAAGACAATGGGTATTTCATAGGACAGAGACAGAGAGTGTTGATGTGGATGGATAAAGGATAGCAGAACAAAAGGAAAGGGAAATAAGAATAGAAAGTGATGAGAATTACATACATTTATTACATAATCTCATAAAAAGGAAATGTTGATAGTGGTGGTACAACTACTTTGAAACAAAGAGAATTGTGTGATCATGTCATAAATACCCACCAGAAAAAATAAACATTTGAGTAGAGAGGGGCAGGTAATTCCTCCCTCCTTGTGTATCTCTCTATGATTATTTTTTTATTTCTTTAAATCAACCACAACTGGCTGCCATTGGCCTGTCACCTGTCCTTTGAGCAGTAAAGGAATGCAGGTGATATGAGATGTCGTAGGAGGCTGCCAACATGGCATGTCATAACAAGTTTTTATTTTTATCTTCTTCAAGCTCTGTAGGTACACTGCACCTCAAATTTCCAACTGGACTCTACATAATGAGAAAAATTATTGGTCTGACCTGGTCCTTTAATTTTCTCCTCACTCATAGCTTGAGCTTTCATTAGCTTTCATTTCTCATTAAGAGAAAAATCAAAGAGTGAGAATTAAACACCTCTTGATTTATTATCTTACTGAAAATGGGAAGTTGAGTATTGTGGGTCTGGATGAATGAAGGGGCAGCTGAAGAATGAGCCGCTGCAGGAGACCACTGTCAGCATGCAGCAACTGCACACTCTCTTCCCTCTTGAAGACAATAGGGAGCAATATAGCATCCAAAAATACTTTGAATCTTCACATTTTGGCCTCATTGACGTAAAATATAAAACCTTCCACAAGTAAAGATAACAGGTCTCAAACCACATTGGGTTTTTTTGGGTTTTTTTTCAATATTAGGGTTGGGTTTGCACTAATCCTTTCAAAACCACTTCCCAACTCTCCATTATGTGACTGCTCCCCATAAACACTACTCATCAGGTACAGAAAATGTACCCAACTCATCTGATAATTCCCTACTATTTGTCAAGTATGTGTAGCAATGGGTGCATACTTGACTGGTGAATTAGTGGGTATCTGCATGCATGGTGATGTGGGGGATGCATGTGCATGGTGAAATGCTGGGTATGCCCATGCGTGGTAAAACACTGGGTACATATGCATGATAAAATGGTGGGTGACTGCATGGTGAAATAGTGTGTGTGGTGAAATGGTAAACGAATACATGCATTGTGAAATGGACTGACTGGCCTTAATCTGTATCTTTGTGTGCATTCTTAATACTACCCTACCTTACTTCAAAAAAGAAATAAATGATATTCATTTGTATGCTATTACTCTTGAATCAAGCAAGAGAACATCAGTGCTACCTATACAGCTTATAATTGGTTGGATGTGACACAAAGGCAGTCATTGTATGGTCACATAGCTTCCAGGGAACATGGGCCAGCATGTCCTTCACAGTTACATGCAGTCCTTTTTCTCATGTGAAGCTGTAACACACATTGGCTCTGTCATAAAGTGCTCTAACTCCTAAGCTTCCATGGCTGAAGTTACAGGATAATCTTCCTATGGAAAGAAACAGCTGGATATATTTTCTTCAATTCTTATCCCTCAGTTGTATCACCCATCTGAGGATTACTTATTTTTGACATTAGATTGGCCCCCAAGTAAACCTGTTTGGGTTCACTCTTTCTAGACTCTCGGCCTAGAGGAGCAACATGGCACACAGAGCCAGAGTTCAGCATTGCAGATAGTTTTGGTTCCCTAGTGCCACTCTAACAGAAATAGCACAAGTGGATGACTTTAACAAACAGGGATTTAGTCTCTTACAGTTTAGGAGGTTAGAAGTCTGAGTTCAAAGTGCCAGCTCGAGGGGCTGGGTGAAGGCCCCTTGACCTTGGGCTTCAGCTCTGTCTCTTGCTCCTAGTGCACTGAAGCTGGAGGTATCTCTTAACTCAGGCAGCTGTTGGCTGCTGAGGCTGACAAACTCAAAGTCCACAAGTAAAATGGCACAGTCCAAAGATTATCAAGCAACACAGCAGTCCACTAGTTTAAGTCCAGAAGAAGTCTCAAGATCAGCGGACAACATGGCAGGCCACTCACTGATGACTCAGCCAAATTCAGGATTCAAATGGGCCAAGAAGCTCAAAACCTTTCTCAAATCTTCTTCTTCTATACTGGAAGTAGAGCACATCCCTAAGGCAGCTACTCAACTGCTCACGGTAGATTCCATCATGGAGCTGATTACCAGTCTCCTCCTGCAGAATAACTACATATAGCTGCCCAACCACTCAAAGCCAGGCCCAGCCAAGTTGACACATAACCTTAACTACAACGATGAGCAGATGAGTCTCTCTAGGAAACTGGAGTCCCTGGATGGTGCAAACTGTTAAAGCACTCAGCTACTAACCAAAAGTTTGAAGGTTCAAGTCCACCCAGAGGTGCTTCAGAGGAAAGGTCTGGTGATCTACATCTGAAAAATCAGCCACTGGAAACTCTGTGGAGCACAGTTCTACTCTGTCATACTTGGGGTTGCCATGAGTCAGAATTAACTTGACAGCAACTGACTGGTTGGTAAGGAGACTAGGAGTTCTCAAAGAATACCATTTTTTTCTGTTTCTCTGCTTCAATTCATTCCCGAACCTTTTGGGTAAAGTTTCTCTCTTTGGTGATAATGTATTCTAATTTTCTCACATCTACTAGAAAGTTTGGTCATTTATTTTTAGAAAATGTCTTGAGATCCCTGAGTCCGAAGAATTATTGCTCATGTTAATATAGTGCCAAGTAAACAGAAAACCCAATAGAGAAAGTTCCATGGTAGAACATTACAGAAATTCACTGGAAGCAAATTATTCCCATCAAAGCAATGGTCTGGATGGTTTTGGGAGGTACATTAATATTTTTTTCATAATCTCAGCCCAATCAGACTCTCATGTTGATAGTTTTGAATTGAACTCATTAACTTATATTATTTTCTTAACTTTAATTTTCAGGTGCATCTTCCCAGAACCTGCAAAGTTTTCTAGAAAGGTATGTGGAAAATGGATATAATAAGTTGTTTTTAAAAAATTTGCCTTTTGCTTTGAAACATAAATGGAAACACTCTAATATTATCCTATAATTACTTTTATGGCACATCAATAACTTATTAGTCAGTATCCAAACACCAGGATGCCACTTCATGGGCCAGTGAGCACAGGAAGTGATTTATTTGCATCTGCCCTGAAAAAGGGATCATAAAAAGCATGCAAAGCAGATAAAACTTAGGTCTGACAGAAATAACTAAAAAATGGAAAGGGGGACAAAAAGGAGCATGTCATATTCTTGTTTTATGAGCAAGAAAACAATTTTGTGCTCATTTTGGATTTTAAATTCAGTAGGGAGACCCTATGTGTCCACAGTGGACCCTTTACCTTTACAAAGTAGACTTTAGACCATGGCTGTCAGTATATCCTACAGATCTGGACCCAAGTAACCCAGATAACTCACATGTCTGATTGACAGCAAATGTAAAAGATGTTAAGATGACAGGGTGTCTATACTGCAGGAGCTCCAATTCCATGCATTTATGTGGCCTTTCCCTGATGAGGAAGTGCTTAAAGATTGCAGAGAAGAAGGGGAAAATGAGAATGGTGATTAATTACCACCAATTATAGCAACAATACCAAAAGTTCACCAAGACCATGGTAAAGGTTGGATAATCAGCCAGTGGTGCTGGTTACAAAGCTTTCTAAGTGTTTGATGTTCAGATTTCATCTTTGGCTTCCCAGTTTGTCTAGGAACCAGCTGTTGGATAACCCAGCCATTGTCATATATGCCATGATTGGAAATGATGTCTGCAATGGGTGAGTTATGGAGAAATATTTTTAATTCTTTGGCTCTGGGTTTTTGTCCTTTTACCTTCACTAGTCCACACCGATTCCACTCCATTATAGCACCTGCTATTGAACTAAATTTCTCTAGCTTAGAAGCAGTAGATAGCAAAAAAAGAAAATAAATAAGAGAAAGAGCCCCATTGAGATGGATTGATATAGTGGCTGCAACAACGGGCTCAAGAGTAGCAATGATTGTGAGGATGGCACAGGGCCCAGCAATACTCCATTCTGTTGTACATAAGGTCACTATGAGTTAGAAGTGACTCAACAGAACCTAACAACAATATCTTAGAAGCAAGACCTAGACACATGTGACATCAACAGAACAAATCTGTGAAGCATCTTAAACTTACATGATCCATCAATTCACAGCTCTGATGTCACCACAAATGGGTGTGCATGATTAGTTATTAGCTCTGTCACAAGAAATATGTTACTACTAAACAAGAATCCGACTCAACGGCAAACAACAACAACAACAACAACAAATAAGAATCCAAGACTGAGAGTCATGAAATTTAAATAAAAGAATATAGAATCATGATTACCCCTAAAGAACACCTTCCTCACTCATATTCTGACATATTTCCTGGTAGAGACAGCATAGACTGATAGCATTTGCAAAGAAATTACATACAACTCAAAGTGAATCTTAATGTTTTCCATGGCCCATAGTAAGAAAGTAGCTTGAATAAACAGCTAATATTGGTAGTGATTTCAAAATGTTGAATGCTTTAGTTCCCCACAATATTTTGAGAGGTCTCTCAAAATCTGTGTATACCCCTAAGAATATGCTACACATGTAAGGACCATCTGTCCTGTGAGTGTGGCCAACGAAGAAAGTTGAGAACTACTGATCTAGGATAAATCCCCATTAGCCACCCACTCACCATTTTGCAAAAGAGAAAAGTAAGGCCCAGGGAGATTCCATGACTTTCCCAAATCCACATGATTGCTTAATGTCAGAGGTAGAATCCAATCCAAGTGGTGCTAGAATTCAAGCCATCCAGCTCACTGCTCTGTCCTACATTTTCCTGTCACTCATCACTTTTTCCAAGCCTATGGTAAAAATAAAGTTCAATATTATTAGAGCATATTTGCTCTCACAGATACCTCCATGAGAGCCCTAGAATGCCTATGGTAAAAGAAGAGTAGATATTATCAGTGCAATGAGTTCAAGGCAAGAGACAGAAGAGATCCTGATATGCCAGACACTTCCTTAGAGGCCATTAGGCTGGTTTGCCATTCTCCCTACAACTCTCTAATAAATAATAAACAATCCCTAAGACCTGCCATGAGACCAGTGCCACGCCACTCTGTGTATCATTTCATGTCCACAGCAGCCCTGAAAGATAAATAAGACTGTCTCCATTTTACAGATAAGGAAACTGAGGTTCAGCAAATTAAGAAACTTGCTTATTTATGTAGCTTTTGAGTAGCAGAGCTGAGAGTCAAACTAGAGTCTCTGACTCTAAGTTCAGTGCTCTTTCAACATCCCACACTTGCCTTATTTGCTTTCTTTTATTCATTTGCTACATAACAGCATGTATTGCTCACCTATTATGAGCCAAGCACTATGCCAGATTTTGGGATATCATAGCAAATAGGCCATGGTCCCTGACCTTAAGAAGCATATGCAAGGAGAAGCAATGAGCTACAGTCTCCTTACACCATCACAAAACAGAACAAACCCACAGTCAGACCAGCCAGTGCCTCTCCAGCACTAGATCAGTCCAGAGGGGGACAGACAGCAGAGTGAAAATATTGAGTGAAGAACAGCTGCAGAAAGAGACTCACTCCAAAAGCCAAAAACCCTGCAACTGTACCCTTCCAGGAGAAATGACTCCCTACATTTCCTTTTCCGAAGAGCCAAAGGGCATCATGCATCAGCCAGCTCCCCCTGCCAGCCTCTCCCTGAGCTGGGAACCTGAGCAGAGAAGTAGCATGCATTTGGGTGAAAGAATGGAGTTGGCAGTGTGGGATGTCCCTGCCGTGCTCACTTTGTGGCATCCTGTGGAGGGGTTAGAAAAATAAAGACAGATGGCAGCTATACCTCCCCATCTGCCAGAATGCCAAGGTGGAGGAGATGTCCCAAAATGAACAAAGTGAGCTCATGGAAAGCTGGAGCCAGCATGGAGTTGCATAAAAATTCTGTCCTGGTACAAGTTTTGTGATATTTGTTTGACTTTTTTTCTTCTCTGTCCTTTTCTTTTTTATGATAATGCTCACTCTGACCGACACAATACAGGTCTGTGCTTCTTTCTCAGTTTTCTAACCTCATGTAGATTTGTGATGATTACTTATTAAATGAATGAAAGAAGGATTGGAAGATAGTTTATGGCAACAGGAATTCAAGAAAAACTGTGCTATAGAAGAACCTAGCTTCCTCATTTTAACTCTACTGTATTTGATCTAAGCTAACCCAGTTTCCTTTGGACTTTGTCCCTCCCTGTCCTCAAAAGTAATGTAATGTGAGTGATATCAAAGGAGAAAATTTCTGGAAACATGGTGTGATAGTTAAAGTTGTAGGTCAACTTGGTTGGGCCTGGTTGTGTGGCTGGGCAGCTGGTGGTAGTTATTCCCCATGGTGAGACTGGCAATCAACTCCATGGTGGGATCTACCACAAGCAGCTGAGTAGCTGCTTTGGGTATGTAGTTTTCTTCCCATATATAAGAAGCAGCTTTGGGAATGGTCTCTAGCTTATGGCACGCTTGGACCCTGCATGTAACTATGTTGTTGTTCAGCAGCCTGCCCTACTCTGCCGACCTTGGGACTTACGATGGACTTGAGTTAATGGCCTGCCATGTGGTTTGGTAAAATCAGGACTGTGCCTTTTCACTTGTCAACCTTGGGCTTGTCAGCCTCAGCAGCCAGCAGCTATCTGAGTGAAGAAAAGCCTCTAGCTCCAGTGGGCTGGGAGCAGGAGGCAGAGCTGGACCCCAAGGTTGAGGGGCTTTCACCCAGCCCCTAGATCCTGGCACTTTTAACTTGGACTTAAAGCCTTCAAACTGTAAGATAATAAATTCTTGTTTGTTAAGACCATCCCATTTGTGAGATATTCTTCTCACAGTGGCACTAGGAAACCAGAACGCATGGCAAATGTGAGCTACAGCAGCAGAATCATTGGGTAGCAGGGGCATTGGTGGGAATTGAAGATGGCCTTAAACCATCAAATTACAAAGGCTACATGAAGGCTATGACAACTCCTCCCCCAACATCCCAACAAATAATTTTTGTGATAGATTTATAAAAGTATCTAACTTAGGTCACATAAATGGGCATAGGTGCATTTTTTTTTTTTTTTTTTGCAGTGGGCATAGAAATTGTAAGCTGTCCATTTTTCATCGAATGGAGAGAGCCAGGACCATCCAGGGCATCTTCTGATGAATTTTTTTTCTGCAATGCCAATGGATCAGATGGCACCCCAGCAGCTGATTAGTGCTGCATTAACAGGAAGCCTGCAAAGATGCAGACAGGTCACAGGCCCCAAGGAGCTCAGGCTGCTCCTCCAAATTCCATTCATCCAAATTGTAGAAAACTAGCAGGGAAGAGAATGAACAGACTCCTATTGCTCAGGGGAAACTCCCTCCAGCCTCCTCTGTCAGAGGCATGGGTGACAAAGACAATGATAAGAAATTTCACAACCCTGCCCCCAACATGTTCCTACCACACCCATATGTAGGGGACCCAGTATCTCTATCAAAAACCAAACCAAATTCACTGCCATTGAGTCAAATCCAACTCATAGTGACCCCTCCTTGGGTTTCCAAGGCCATATCACTACGGAAATAGATTGTCCAACCTTTCTTCCAAGGAGTGGCTGGTGGGTTTGAACCAACAGCCTTCTAGTTAGCAGTCAAATGCCTTAAGCATTATGCCACCAGAGTTCTTAGTATCTCTACACACAAGGTAATGTGGACCCAGTGAGCCCCCATTCCTTCCCTTTCTGAAAGCCTAAGCATTTGGTTTTGGAGGGGTTAGATGGGCGGTAAACAATGAAATTACAACTAGCCCACGTGCAAAAGTCTATTATCTGCATGTTTCTAGGAAAAAAAAAAAAAAGGCAGTTATGAGTGAGAACTGAGCACAAAACAAAGATGATTGCACTTGAGCTCTGGTTCTGGGGAACTGATTTCTGCAAAGGTTCTTTGCCTTCTTCCTTGAGAGGAGGAAATCTCTCCAGCATCCAACAGGTGAAATCTGGCCTGCTAGGGTAATGAAATGACCGTAGCCAGCCCTGCACCCAAGTAATGAGGCTTATTTTGCTAGATCAGACACAATTCATTAAGACAGAGACAGGCTTCTGAGCCACCCCAAGGGGTGAAGCTGCTTCTGTGTTTGGAGCCCGGCCATATGCTCCTGGCATGTGCCAAGGTGAGTTGGTGGCATTGACTTCTCTCTGATTATTTTCCCTGATATAACCGTCATGACCTCAGGCTGCTTTCCAAATTTCTCCTCCCAACCCTTCACCTCTCTATCTGTGGGGCTGATGTGCAGTCTCCAGTGTTTAGAGATGGGTACCAGGGCATGGGGTGGACATGCAAACCCAGAATGGCAGGGTGGGTCTGACAATGGGCTCTAGAACACCTGGATAGAAAAAGTCTCAGCCACTTTCAACTTACTACATTCAGCTTTTGACTGTTTCCCAAAATATTAGTGCTATTGCTGTTGCCATATTGTTGCCATGGAGTTGGCCCCAATTTATAGTGTCCCCACTCCCAATGGGATTAGACCATTATGATCCACAGAGTTTTCATACAAGTTATCATTGGATGCTTTTCAGAAGTGGATCTCCAGACCTTTCTTCAAGTCTATCTTTGTCTGGAAGTGCCACTGAAACATGTTCAGCAACACAACAACATGTAAGTCTCTATAGACAGAGGGTGAGGTGCACTGGCCAGGAATCAAACCCAAGACCCCCACACAAAAGCACAAATTCTACCAATGAACCATCACTGTCCTTGCTGGT